AACCTCGGAAGTCATCGGATGGCAAAAGAGTTAGTTTTCGGGAACCAAATGACGAGAAGAATCAAACGACTGATTACGCGAAGAATAAGCGAATTGAAGACCAGAAGAAGAAATTGATTAAAGACGCTCAGATTGAAAATATGAAGTCAAAGGCCATTAAAAAGCCGATTAATATGCGAAACGCCGACAAAGAGAATAAGAGACCAAATGTTGAGAAGAAGAATCCATACGCGGAGGAGAAGTCGACGGTTCAGGAGTACGAAAGACAAAAGTCTATAGAGGTTTGGGAGCAGTTTCTGGAGGAGAGACGACAATTTCGTGCCAAAAAAGTACTTCCGTTCATGAGTTCGACCCCTAATTTGTCTCAAAGAAAGCTCTTGAAGACAAAATCGATTTTGAAGAAACCAAAACTGCCACCCATTGGACAGTTACCCGAATACAGCGCCGCCCGTAAGAGGGAGAGACCGGACGATGATATTGAATACGATGTCGAGCCCTCATATCTGGGCCCTTCGACCTCGACATCACCGGCGCCCACACCCAGTGGTTCGGGCGGTAGTCGTCTCTATCAGGATATAATTGAAGCGCAAAAACGTAAAAATGATAAAAAGCGCGAAGAAATAGCCAAAAAGTTCAAGACTACTGGAGTGATTGGGTACGACCGGTGGGCCAACCCGAAGGGAGTCCACAAACATCAGGCCTATACAGACAAACCTAAGGTCGAGAACTGGCCGGTGCCCAAGACTAAGCCATTTATTACACCAATCGATCGCTTGAAAATAATTCAGTCCAGAAGTCTAGACAATTTACAGCCGTCGACATCGTCGGCCACTCCGGAGTTCCTCAAAGACCCCAATGACTTGGAACTCAATATATCGCGAGCAAGGTNATGACTTGGAACTCAATATATCGCGAGCAAGGTCATCCAAAGTGTTGGGCAAAAATATAAGGCGAGTGGAGCACCGGCCGACCTGGCTGTCCAAGTGAGCACCTGGTTATCGAAATGAACTAACTGTATATATATTAGTGACACATCTTTTCTTAGGTGTAATTTTTATGACGATTTTCATAACCAGTTTGTGTTTTCATTTATATTTATATTTATATTTTAATTTATTCTGTATTTTAAAATGCATGTAACATTTCTGTATATTTCCTTTACTTTTTATTTTATTTTTTACGTTAAGTTTTTATGACTACACATATACTCTACTGAATCGTTAACAGTGTGTTTATTTCCTCTGAATTTATCATTTAATGAATTTGTTAAAAAAGTTTGTAAATTATGTCGAGATTAAGAGTTACAGACGCAAGTTGTTTGACAATTGAATATTAATTTTTTAATTTGAATATTTTAACTAAAGTTATGAAAAATGTTTGTTTTTGTTTGAAATCTCATGTCATATCAGAAAATTTGATTTTTGTTTTATTTCCAATTTTGCTGTCAATTGAATTGGTTGTGAAATGTTTATAATAAGCTATTATTAAAGTGATTTCTATAATTCTCAATTGAAAAGCAAATAAAATGACTAATTATTAATGGATGAGTTTTGATTATATCAATCAAATGTGTAATTAATAATAATTCAATGAAATTAACTCTTTAAAGCGTTTTTAATAAACTTGAGATCAGGGAAAGTGGTTA